GCCTAATTTTTTTGAATTAGATTAATTAATGTCCGAAACATTCTAATTAATTCAGCGTAATTTAAGCGTAAAAATTAGCGTATATTTATAAACTGGATCTCTTGTCACTCTTCGTTTAAAAAAAGTGTACCTAAAACGATATGTAACTTATTACTCGACTTATGTATCGAATTCTTAATTAATATACTTTATAGAGATCTGCAGATAAATGTTTAGTCTTCTCAAACACCAAATATCTCTCCTGATTGTTTGCACTTGACAATCACCTTCCCTGAATTTTACTCAGGTGTAATTAAAGTCTGATTTAAGGGTTGTTTATATTTCACATCATTAATCAGAATCTGCAAAGTAACCAAAATAAATGTAGTGGAGTAAAAATACCAGGTTAACCTCTGAATTGTAGTGGAGTAGAATTGCAAAGTAACAATGAGCTGTCATGTGCAGGGCCGCCTTAATGCACGGGCTGACCTGGGCTGAAGCCCAGGGGCCTACGGAGATCGGGGGCCTATCATGAGCCAATAAAAAAAATAATAATAATTCAAATTCCAAAATATATATTTTTTTATTTCGGATGTTTTATTTTTATTTTAAATAAACAAAGTCTTGGCTTTCAGAATATGAAACTTTTAGTTCCCAAATCACACGATAAATACATTTTTGAAGCTTGTAAAGGGAAGAAGACAGCTCTCGCTCGCCACTCTGCTGTTCTGCTGTTCCCCTCCCTCCGGCTGAAATGATGAATGAAAGGCGTATAGTAATCATAGATAACATGGCAGGGTCCGTTACAGTTTGTTTTCATCTGGTTTCAATTAAACAAAGTCTTGGCTTTCAGAATATTAAACTTGTTTCGGCAAATTCAGATGATAAATACAACTTTGAAGCTTGTAATGGCATAATTACAAGCGGAGAACGGAGTAACTTGACGTCCCATGCACAGCAGGCATAAAAACAGCCGGTGTTTCTCGTGAGCGTTTTCCCCGGGAAACTAACACAATACACAGAAACGCAAAAATACACAAACACACACACGTATACACACACACTTGTGAGCTTCCCCCAGACCAGTAATCCAATAGAAAATATCTTCCCTCCATAGTATTTTGATAATTTGCTCCGCTAATCAATCAGATCGATGGATTCCAGAGATTTTTCTCAAAAATGATGACTCCCAGTCAGTGGGCACCACTTAACAGCCAATCAGAATGAGAATATGTTTCAGATGTGACTTATTCAAATTGCGAGTGATTGAGTGACAGATGAAGGTTGTTTAGGAGAAAAAGTTTGAGAAGAAAAAGTTTGAGAAGAAAAAGTTTGCGAGTGGCGCTCGGAAAAGGAAATTGTTGAGGGAAAAGTAGTTTAGAGACAAGCAGCTATTACAAAAGATGCCGAAGCTTACAGGTTATTTTAAACCTGTATGCCGGGATGAGGAGGAAGGACAGATTAGTTCTGTACCGAGCGGTAGCGGTGCCGGCCGCGGGGCCTCGGAGACAAGTAGGCCGTCTGGTTCTGATAGCGATGGAGTAGCGGGAAAGGAAAAACAGACAGGAGGGACATTATCTGTTGGAGGCGATGGAGAGGACGACGAGGACTTGCTACGTGGAGGGGAGCCAACGGCAACCGGACAAATACATGAGGGAGGCCCGATACGCCACTCATATGGAGGAGAGGACCAGGCGCGCGTAGAGCAGAGTGGAGAAGTGCGATCACAGAGCCTGCCGAGGCTATAAATGACTTTGACTTGTTGTTTAAATAGGGGGCCTACAAAAACTATCAGCCCCAGGGCCTGATGGCAGGTTAAGGCGGGCTTGAAGGCTGCATATATGGCTCTGCATTCAAAGAAATCCCATTTTCCATCCAACTGAAGCTTTAATTTTAAAGAAATACAGCACTACATTTATGGTATTGTCTCTTTCTGTGCCAGAAGTGACGATGCTAAAGATCTTCCCCCATTCCTGATGACACCTATCTCCACCTGAATGGATGTTTTAACCGTCCTGGGACAGACCGTCTGCAGCCTCTCTGTCCTTTACACTGATGAGCCCTGATCCCCAGGGGACCATCTCACCCTTCCAGATAATGACTTTCTTTTTTGACAGGACAGATTTTGACCTTCTGCTAGCAGTGAACAATTCCATAATATCTCAGTCATCCTCATCATCATCATCTTCGCCATCCGTCTCCAACGTTCTTTTGTTTGACATGTACGGCCTTGAGAGGGCATAAATAATATATATTTTTAATGATAGTTTTATGTCTGTTTATTCATTCAGTCCGTCTCCCTTGTTCCTCATTCGAGCAATTTACTCTCTCAGATGGAAAGTTTAGTCATTCCCAAAGTGTCTCTAGCAGACATTGAACCTGTGGTCACTGTCTCACCCACCTGAAGAACATTTGCAAAGACTCAGACAGCCACCAGGGCTGTAGTCCATTCCCTGGACAGATTCATTATTCAATCATGACCTTTCTTCCACCTCCTCCTTAAAAGTGGAACTTTCATGAATTTTGTCAGAGAGACAGAGTGGTGGGCACCTTCAAAAATGCAAGGTGGTGAAGGTGCCACACACAATCTGGGAGTTGTACTTTTTTCTTCTCCGTTATTGAGATGAATGGGACGCTGGGAGTGAATGAGAAGTGCAGAGCAGCAGGGCGCTATTGTTTGTTGGCCTTTTTGAACAAAATAGAGAGAGGGATAAAGGCAGACATATACAAGAAGTTGTGTGTGTGTGTGTGTGTGTGTGTGTGTGTGTGTGTGTGTGTGTGCGTGCGTGCGTGCGTGCGTGCGTGCGTGCGTGCGTGCGTGCGTGCGTGTGTGTGTATGAGAGAGCCTTTCATGTTCATTGCATGGGGCTTTGTCTGTGTCAGGCTTCACATACTGATCAAACTCTGAGCATGAGCTGGCTGGAGAAGACAGGGCAGGAAAGCGGCACATAAAACAAACAAAAACGGGTCACCTTTTTGGCTGTTGTGCTCTTTCATGTCCCATGGTTTTGCACCAGGTGTGTACCCTAAGCATGCAAAGGATTTTACACACAGCACTTTACCCTCTCAAAGGCCCTCTCTTCCCCAGTCACCGGCCTTTAAAGTGCATTGAAGCACATGCATGTGCACTCAGGAAAAGAAAACAGAACACAAAGCGGCCCATGGAGTACAATTTCAGTGCAAACAACATAATGGGTTCAGCAGTTCCATGACACTATCCTTCACAGGTTGGCCCATCTTTCCTGTTACGCTCCCTCCCTAAGATCATGCCTCAAACCTTTGGGTGAGGGTTTCATAAATACTACATAAGAAACATGTTACCAGTAAGCATTCTCTCCGCAGTCATGGTGTATTTTACATGGCAGCCTCAGCGAAACATGCTCCGTCCTGGTGATGGACCTGAAAGCAGGAAGACGCATTCCGTCTACTGAACGCAAAACAATTTTCAATTACATAAAAAAAAAGTCATGCACATTATGTCCATGTGCTGTGTTGCACTGAAATTCCATCCAAACTTTGAACAAATGTTGGGGGTTGCTACATTCCAAGTTTCAAAACACGCTCTGCAAAAGTGTGAAGTGATTTTAAGGCAAGGTATAGAAGTAGAGGGAAAAAAAACATCTGGAGGTTTTACTGTTTTACAGGAGCAGGAGTGGGTTAGTGCCAGGCCACGTTGGGTATCCTGGCATAAATTTAACGGAGGCTGATGCAGGCAGTGAATCCCTTTTGTACACACACCGCTAGATGAAACTGCCAAGGTGTTTAAGTCAGTCTGTATCCCCTTGAAATATATTCAGCCACAAAACCGCGCAGCTTTCAGAATTGCCTTATTTTCAAGTGATGAACAAATCTAAAATTAAAAAAATTGTGTTGGCATTTAAGGTAATACATTTGTCCAACATTCAATCCCATTTTGGTGAAAAAATACTAGCATTCCATCACGATGTGTGACATGCAAATCAAATTAAGCTGAGAAGAAAGCCCATAATCCAAACCATGCAGTCTTGACATATGCCTTTCAGTGTCACTTAGTTCTGCCTCTGACTCAAAAGCTCTCTGCAATCAGCATTCCCTTCACCATCACCCCGCATCGACCATCTGCATCCTGAGGTTTTCCCGTTGAGAATTGCATGAGTTTACACCATGTAACTCTGGGTCACTCGAGTGTACCTCAAGGTTGGTAAACACAAATCAAAGCTCTGGATCCTTGGGGCAGGGGCATGGAGAGTGGATGATGTGCGTGACTCGGGGAGATGAGGCCTTGATCTCAGGCTGCACGGCTGTATCAGTGCGTGAAGGGTGGATGCAACATCTCTACAGGGACAGGCAAGTGTGTGTTTAATGTATTTATGAATGTCTGAATGGACTGTGTATCTTCTTCGATGTAGCACGAGCCATGCTTGATAAAGATCACACAAAGTTGTTGCATATATGTTTTAACAAACCGGTCTCTAGATATCACACTGTCATAGTGATACTTTTTTTTTAGTTTTAGGGTTAGTCTGTGTACCGTACAAAGAGCAGGACATCCACCTGTTTTAAAGCGGACATTTTGACTTTTTTAAGCAGGAGAAGCTTGGACTAAATTATTATCTGTAATGATGGCTGCATCCATTTAGCTCCGAGTCAAATGAAGTGCTCCGTTTGTATGCATGCTAATGATGCGTTTCAGACAACAGACTGGTTGGAATTTGCACAACACTAAATGTGAGCAAATCCATGGCTGACTGTGACCGTGGCGGATGTTTTTTAAAGTTTAGACGTGATTGAACCCTCAGCAGTGCAGCGTCCACTTTTAATGTTAACCGGAATATTTTTTGTGAGGAGTAGATAACTGTCAGAGACCGTTAAAAGCTACATAATGAAATCTGCAACATATTTTGACATTCGTTTACATGCAGAACAGGTTTAACTAAATGAAAATATGTATTATCCCAATTAAATATTCAATATGGTAAATTCTAGTTGATGTTCTTCCATTGCTGTATGTGTTGGATTGGGTTAGATTACTTTTATTCTTGTACTTAAAACATCTCTTATTCTATTTTAGCATGTTTTATTTGCATTTAATACTTTTTATAAATGTATAAAAATGTCATTTCATAATGTATTTATGTTGCACTATATGTTAATGCTCTTAATCTTTGAATTGCCTTGTGTTGAAATGTGACTCGCTTTGCCTTGTAGAAAGAGTCAAAGGTTCTCTAAAGTTATAACAAACTAGTCTACGGGGGGAAAGAAATCTGTACATAACTTAACACAACACATTTGAACGTTGTGGTGGTACAAACAACCAAAAGTTGTTGGGCTGACAGACCGACTAATATAGACAGACATTGGCATCCCTAGAGTCTGCTACCAGCATGGATAAAAAAACATCATTCAGGCAACATTTCTCTTTCAGTGGTCCTGCAATGTTATGCTCTATTATGCTAGTTTTTATATGAGAGTGAATTCAGGCTGTATACAGACTTAGTGAAATAACAGAAGAAGAGAACAATTTTGAAAGAAGCTTTCACTGGCGCAGTTATGTAAACCATTTTTTTTTTACCTGCTTTGAATTCACTATAAGCGGAAGGTGTCAAAAATGACCTAGAAATAACTGCCATACTTGATTCATTGGTGTGCCTCTTTCCTCACCAACAGATTCCAGCTTGTGTGTACTTCTATGTGCACCAGTCAATGCTTACCTTAAATAGAGAGATCACTCCAAGGTAAACGGCCGTTAAACATTCTTAAAAATAATATGTCTTCAGTGCTTGTAATTAGGGCCGGGACTCGATTAAAAAAATTAATCTAATTAATTAGAGGCTTTGTAATTAATTTATCGAAATTAATCGCATTTTTAATCACATATAAATATTTGACCTGAGAACAGTGAGAAGCAATTTTTTTCACATGGATTTTAATATACCATTGAATAATGACTGAATACATAAGCTTAAGCAACAAAACATTGTTTATTTTTTTCAAGGTGGTACTTAACCAAGACCAACAGAAAAGTGCAATTTTTGCCATAAAGTGTAGCAATAGCATATTTAGGAATATAGTACATTTCAGAGATTCAGGTAGTCTATAGGTAGGTAGACCT